AGAAGTGAAATGGGGAATATAATAAAATAGTCAACTGAAATAAAAAGTTTAATAACAATACTCTGAAGAGCTTTAATCCTATAAATTTGAAAACCTAGAATTCAAAAAATTTCTTGAAAGACACTATCTACCTAAATAAAATCAGATTTAGATAGAAATTTTGAACAGACCAATAACAAAAGAAGAAATTGATCAGGTCATTCAAAAACAAAACAACTCCTGTGTTGGACTGAGTTCTCTAGAGAAGCAAAACTAGTGATGCTTATATGTGTATGTATATAGAAAGAGATTTATATCAAGAAATGTCTCATATAGTTGCAGAAGTGAGTAAGTCTAGTCCAGTTCAAGTGCATGGATCAGATGGTAAGGTGGAGGCTTCTCCTGACTCATGTAGCTGTGGGGGCTGATCACCCAGGAAGCAGGAAAAGGAGGGAAGAAGACCACAGGCTGACAGGTGCAACATCAAATGAATCCAAGGACAGCACTCCACTGATGGTTACTAGGGCCGGCAGGAAATATGGCAGGAGATCAATGAAGTGCCTACATAAATGGAAAAATATACCATACTCATGAGAAGATTAAATATTGTGAAAATGTCAATAATACTCAAAGTGATCTACAGCTAGAATGTTATTCCAATCCAGATTTCCATCATCATTCTTTAAAGAGATGGAAAAACAAATGGCCAATTTTATATGTAAAGGAAAGAGACTTCAGATAAATAAAATGCTACTCAACAGGAAGGACAAAGTAGGAGGTCTTACACGTCTCAGTCTCTAACCCTAGTACACAAACATGGTAGTCAAACAACTTGACACTGATACAATAGACACATAGACCAATGGAACAGAACTGAGAACCTAAAAGTAAAGCCATCTACCTATGAACAGCTTATCTTTGTTCAAGGGCAGAAATTCATTCAAGGAGGAAGAGTTCATGAGGAAAGTCAAGTACATAGAAACAAAAAAGAAAAAAGTCATATTTTCATATTCCAGAGTATTGTTTAGACTTCCTCGTAAAGTTCAAAACCAAGGCTTCCAGCTCTTCTTCCTTAACTCAGATGGGCTATGCAATAATTAATGTCTTCTCAATTTTTTGCCTACTCTGTGTTTTCCTCAGTATGTAAAGCGAATATTTAAAAAGACAAGCATTGCATTCACAAATCCAAAACCGGGGTTTGGTAGGAATGACCAAGTGGAGAATTGTAAACTTTGACCTCACCATGACATAGAAGATCACTGCATGAATGCCAGAGAAAGGGTAGAAAAAAAAAAATTAAGATATCATCTCTTAAAGGAAACAGATAAGTACTGCTATACGAGGGGGTACCCCACAAAAATCAGAACTGCACTGGATGGAGTAGAGCTTTCACAGTACACATTTTTTCTACGAGGTGAGCATGTAGCAACTAGCTCTGAGTTAGTGCGCCCAGTGGCATCACCTGGGAAGGTTCTTTCTGGTCACAGTGAACTTTTCTGTAAAAGTAGTTTCTCTAGATCAGTGGTTTTCAACCTTCCTAATGCCGTGACCCTTTAACACAGTTCCTCATGTTATGGTGACCCCCAAACATAAAATTATTTTCGTTGCTACTTCCTAACTGTAATTTTGCTACTGTTATGAATCATAATGTAAATATCTGATATGCAGGATGTATTTTATTGTTAAAAATTGAGCATAATTAAAGCATAGTGATTTACAAAACAATATGTAATTATACATTGTGAAATATTTATTTCTAATAACAAGCAAATGAAATTTTGTCTTGAACCATGGTGTAGCATGGGTAACAGTCTTCACACTGGTTACTCGTATGTGGGCCTATCTGCATGTGGGTGGACCCAACTGTATATGGATAGAGGAGCGGTGTCTCGGTTCCTAAGACCATCGGAAATGTGTTTTCCAATGGGCTTAGGTAACCCCTGTGAAAGGGTCGTTCGACCCCCTAAAGGGGTCGCGACCTGCAGGTGGAGGACTGCTTCTCTAGAACCTAATTTTTTGTGGTATGGAATTTTGTTTCCTACTTGGGAAAAGTGCCGCAGAAACTGTTTTGATGTTGAACACAGCTTACAAGGACAGTGCTCTGGGAAACATTCAAGCATGTGGAGTGGCTTTCTCATTTCAAAAAAAAGGTGAAATGTTGATTGATGACAAATCCCCTTCTGGACAGCTGTCAACTTTCTGGACAGATGAAAATATCAACTTGTAGTGCTTTTGAAGTTCGTTCCACAGGTCGGACTGTTACTCAAGCTTTCTATTTAGAGAGGTTCTGAAGATTGTGTAATAATGTGCTACCAAAAAGGTCTTGGTTTGTGGCAGACAGGGAACTGGTTTCACCACCATAATGCACCTGCTCACGCAGCCATCTCCGTGTGCTACTCATTGGCCAAAAAACCCAGCATGCCTCTCTTGCCCCACACACCTTACTCACCTCACCTCGTGCTGTGCTTACCTATATTTTGAATATATTCATGAATGTGGTGGAGCATGAAGGAAGCAAAGCTATTAAAACTTCTTTTAGACTACACCAAACATTTTGAGGGAATGAGTTACCTGGGAATCCAGAACAGTAGGCTGAATTCCAGTGGCATGACATAATCCATAAGGACAGGTCTACATCCTATTTTGATGAGTACAACTTGGGTCTTAAAAGCCCATGAATGACCATCTATAATGCAGCTATTGGTCTCTCCCTCTCCAGAGCAAAGAAGAGGGAAGAAAACCAAAGGCACATGAAAACAATTAGTCCAATGACCTAATGGACCACACGAACATCAGCCTCCAAGATGCTGAGACCAGACTCTATAGGATCCAGCTACCACTACTCCTGGATAGACTTAGAGAAAAAACGTGAAACGAAATTCGAAATCATAAACAATACTAAGCTTGTTCATTCCACAGAGACTAATGAAACCACTGAGACTATGGCCCTTTTCTAATCCTTCAGGAATTTCCAGAAGGGAACTCACTCACCCTTGTGGCTCAACTTTCAAACAATAGGTTTATGAGGGAACAATAGCACTCGAGAGGTATGCATACCTTAGCATAATCAACCATCTGGGATCAAAAAGACAGTCTTGACTCAAAGACAAAGTTCAAAAGGTTAGGAAAGAAGGCAGAATGAAAGTGGGGAACTTAGGAAGTGAGATAAGTAATGTTGCATTGTGGGGAGTGTAAAATTGTAATGCAACAACAGATGTATGAATTGTTTATTGAAAATCTGATCTTGCTCTGGAAATCCTTAGAGAGTTCACACACACACAAATGTTTAAATTAATAAAAAGAATGCCCGATCAGGTAGGTAGAAAAATAATGTATGTATATGTTTACAGCATCAGAAACACTATGATCTGTAGAGTGGCCATATGTCGCAATAGACTCAGCAGCATAAGTTTGGTTTTGGTTGACTCTTGTCTCTATAAAAGAAAACTCTGCTGTTGTCTGACCCCAAGACTCTTGGAGATATTAGAGCAGTCTCTTGATTGCAATAGTTCTTTCTGAATTCAGCATCTTTCTATCAAAAAAAAAAAAATCTCTGTAACAAAGGATTTCCTAGGTATTCCTTTATATCAGAGGTTCTCAACCTGTGGGTCGTGACCCCTTTGGGGGTCCAATGACCCTTTCACAGGGGTCACCTAAGACCATCGGAAAACACACATTTCTGATGGTCTTAGGAACCGAGACACCGCTCCTCTATCCGTCTCCAGGTGGGTCCACCCACATGCCGAGAAGCCCACATACGAGTACTAGGCGTGAAGACCGTTACCCATGCTAACACCATGCTTCAAGACAAAATTTCATTTATTTGTAATTAGAAATAAACATTTCACAATATATAACTGCATATTGTTTTGTGATTAATTACTATCCTTTAATTATGTTCAATTCGTAACAATGAAAATATCTCCTGCATATCAGATATTTATTTACATTATGACTCTTAACAGTAGCAAAATTATAGTTATGAAGTAGCAACAAAAATAATTTTATGTTTGGGGGTCACCATAACATGAGGAACTGTATTAAAGGGTCACGTCATTAGGAAGGTTGAGAACCACTGCCTTATATCAAATCTTCATCAACCCTTCCATGACCAACAGTTCCTATAGGAGTATACTGTTTCCCTCACTTTACCGCTGACAAAGCTGGAGCTCAAAGATGTTATGAGACTGTCCTAAGATCACAGAGTCAATAACATTTACATTCCACTGAGAGTTCTGGTGAGTAACTGTGGCTGAGAGCCCAGGGTAGAGTGATGGTGTTTCTCACCCCCCAAAACCTAAAAGGCTAGGGTGTTGAGCTAGGAACATTACTCTGAGCAGCTGGCTGTCAGGGCTTTTCCTTTCCTCTTCGCTCTGACTTATTTTGGAAAACTGGCTGGATTCAGTGATTTCTGGAAAGAAGTCCCAGCATCTGCGTGACTCTGTGACAATGGGGGGAAAGCAGGATAAAGCCAGGTATAATAAATACAGAATGCAAGTCATTATTCCATCTTCTTCCTTCAGACTAGAATGCCAGGTGGCGTGGGGAGTGGGGGCTTCCATTTCTTCAACAATTCTCTAGAATCTCTCATTTCCTAGTTTTTAAAAACCTCCATTTAAAAAAAATCTCGCTTTTTTAGGATTTATGGAGGTCTTTCACTGTATGTATTCTCCCCAAGACCAGGAAAAGTAAGTTGGAGACAGGATAGGTGGGAGCACAAAGTTCAGTTTAGTCTGTCTTCCTGTTCACTTTAGGCTATATTCCTACCAAGTTCCCCCTCTTAGCCCAGATCCCCATCTCCTACTGGGAGTGGGGCTCAGAGGAAACCAGCCAAGGATTACTTAGCCACCAGGACCCACTAGATTGAACCTTCTATTGATTTTTGTTTTTTTCCTAAGCAGTATACCCACTCCAAACTCGGGATGTAGGACTTTGAAACTAGAAAATTCCAGGTCTGACGGAGAGGAAAGAACAAGTCCAGCAATACACAGAGCTCTGTGTATTCAGAGGGAAGTTGGCAGAGTTGTATTCAGGCAGAAAAACTCCAAGTGGTACAAAGGGACGTGCCCAGAGTGGAGAAATCATGCTAATTGTCTGCACCAGAGCTGGAGAATGCCACCCAAAATGAAGAGAGAAAGGGGAGCCCCGTCCAGAGCCTCCAGGGCCCTGCGCCTGACTCCTTTTGTCTACCTTCTTCTGATCCAGACAGGTAGGAGACCACAAGGGTAAGAAAAGCTGGAAAAGGGACCCCGGGCTTTCAAAGAAAAAGGAAGGGAGAGTCAAAGACCTTTGGGGTGGGAGGAAGGGAGAGAGAGCGAGCTCAGCTGCCTGTGGGAAGATTCTCAGGGAATTCAGGCATTAATGTTGAATGCATTTCTTCATTCCATGGGCTTCCCCGCCCAGGCCTCCCTCCCCGAAGAGGCTGCATGACGTTGGCGCTCCCAGGCCGTTCAGTACATTAGACGAATGGCGCTGAGCCATGTCTTATGGGATGATTTGTTGGTGTGGGCCAACTGGCATTCTTTCCAAGGGATTATGGTGGGGTTTTCAGCAGGTGGGGGAAATTGTGTTTACTATGACTTCTGTTAGTGTAAAGCAGCAAGAAAGAGGAAAGACATTTTAGAAATAATGATCCTCCTAGTTTGTGAACGATGGCATTATTCTATCTATAACTCACCACTTACCTCCGGTATTGGCCTCAACCAATTTCTTCATTGTAAGTGTGTGTGTGTTCATTGCAACCCTGCCATCGAGTTGATTGCAGCTCATAGGACAGAATCCCTATGGGATTCAGAGACAAACTTTTTACAGGCGTAGAAAGCCTCATCTTTCTCAGTTGGTGGTTTCTATAGCAGCCCAATATGTAACCTAGTTTGCCACCATTCCCATTACAAAGAATCTAGGAATTCGTCCTAGAACCTGGAGCAAACATAGAGTTCACTTTAAATCAATCAGAAATGACTGGGTCAGCTCCGCAGAGTGTAGGAATCAAAGAAAGGTCACCCACAGAAGATTGAGCAGCAGGGACAATATTAGAGGAGGTTTCCTGCCAGAGATAAAACCTGAAGTAAAAATTTTAAATGAGGGAAGTAAGTAGGAGTCGGAGTAGACATTATAGCCTGAAGCAGTGTGAATTGATTTAGACAAGAGTTTTGTAAGGCTTATTCAGTAGGCTGGCATATGCTCTGTAAAGAGTCACTGGGGAGAGAGGCGTGGGCTGGTTTTTAACTTGAAGGCTAGCAGTGTCAAACGGACGTCTAAGATCGCTCACTCTGCTATGAGGCACCGAAGGGAGGAAATAATATAAAAAATAATGAACATAGATAAAATCACCTAATGCGGGGAAAATAAACTGAAAATGGGACACAGGGCAACCCCAAGATTTAATTTTATTTATTTATCTTAATCATTTTATTGGGGGCTCGTACAATTCTTTTTTAAAATCATTTTATTAGGGGCTCATACAACTCTTATCACAATCCATACATACATCAATTGTGTGAAGCACTTTGTGCATTCATTGCCCTCATCTTTCCCAACTCTTATAACAATCCATACATCAATTGTATCAAGCATATTTCTACAAATGTTGCCATTACTCTTTTCTAGACATTTACTTTCTTTTATTATTTTACTGGGGGCTCATACAATTCTCATCACAATCCATACATCCATCCATTGTGTCAAGCACATATGTACATTCGCTACCCTCATCATTCTCAAAACATTTTCCCTCCACCTCAACCCTTAATATCAGTTGCTCATTTTCCTCCTCCCTCCCCACCCTCCTCCCTCATGAACCCTCCATAATTCACAACTTATTATAGTTTTGTCATAAGTTATACTGTCGGATGTCTCCCCCAGCCCTCTTCTCTGCTGTCCCTCCCCCAGGAAGGAGGCAATACCTAGATTCTTGTAATTGGTTTCCTCTTTTCCCCCCCCCTTTCCTTTCCCCTTCAGGCCTCGCCCCTTTCACCACTGGTCCTGAAGGAGTCATCTGTCCTGGATTCCCTGTGTTTCCAGCTGCTATCTGTACCAATGTACATCCTCTGGTGTAGCCAGATTTGTAAGGTAGAATTGGGATCATGATAGTGGGGGTGGGTGGGTGGAGGAAGCATTTAAGAACTAGAGGAAAGTTATATGTTTCATTGTTGCTACCCTGCACCCCGATTGGCTTGTCTCTTCCCCTCAACCCTTCAGCGAGGGCGTGTCCAATTGTCTATCGATGGGCTTTGAGTCTCCACTTTGCACTCACCCACCTTTACAATGATATTTTTTGTTTTTTGATGCTTGATACCTGATCTCTTTGACAGCTTGTGGTCACGCATGCTGTTGTGCTTCTTCCATGTGGGCTTTGTTGCTTCTGAGCTAGTTGGCCACTTGTTTATCTTCAAGCCTTTAAGATCCCAGACACTATATCTTTTGATAGTCGGGCGCCATTAGCTCTCTTCACCACATTTGCTTATGCACAAGTTTGTCTGCATTGATTGTGTCAGTAAAGCAGGCACCCACTGATAATGATTTTCAGTTCTTTTATGTCTGATAACTGATCCCTTCTACACCTCATGATCAGACAGGCTGGTGTGCTTCTTCCATGTGGGCTTTGATGCTTCTCAGCTAGATGGCCGCTTGTTTGTCTTCAAGCCTTTAAGACCACAGACGTTAAATCTTTTGGTAGCCGCAACCCCGATATTTGTAGAACAAAATAGGGGAAAAGTTCATGAAGGAGATCCAAAAAGAACCATTAGAGAGAGAGAAGGAAAACTAGCAGTCTGGAGTTTATGAATACAAGGGAGTTGAGAGTTTTCAAACGTGAATTAACACCATCAAATGTGTCAGAGAGGTCCAGTATAATAAGGACCTAAAAGAGCCCATTGATTTTAATAATTAACAAGTTAACATTGGCCCCAGTCAATATGTCTCAATGGATATTACAATGAGTTTAGTTAAAGAGAGAGAGAGAGAGAGAGAGAGAGAAACCTGAAGGTTAGAGGCAGTGGCTTGGGAGTAGAAAACATGCAATGAAATATGTAATGGAAATGTTAATGTAATGGAAATGTACATTATGTAATTAAAGATAGTCCTAAACTCTTTCAGTCACCAAGTAGTAAAGGACAAATATGTAGAAAGATATTGTTAGTGTAACAAGGTGAATGTAAAGATTACAAAGAATCTTTTGAGTGTGATCTTACAACCTAATAAATATAATGATGCTTATTAGATATTAGTTATGACTTATGAGGTAAGAGGAAGTGCGGGTAAGATCAAGCTAGTAAGCAATTATAGATTAAAAGGCAACAAAGAGTAGAGATTCTATACAAAATTTTCATTATCCTCAATTTATTAGTTAAGAAAATGCCAGTCTGTAACAAAATAAACCCCAATGCTACCATCAAATGTAGTCCCAGGGATGGAGAAGGACCCTGTGGCACGAAATTTTCAAAGCCAACCTGATGGAGGCTGTCTAAACTTCAACAGTCATTTTAACATTTCTGCCCATTTGTACCAGGTAGAGACTTTTAAAACAACGAAACGAAAACATGGAAGAACACACAGGGGAGGTTTTCCTAGACCAGGCCTAGAAGTGACACAGCTCTCTTCCCCTGGTTCTACCCATATTGGCCAAAATTCAGTCACATGGTCATAATAACGCCAAGGGAGTGTGAGAAATGTAACCTTTTCAACTACACTAACTTGGGACTGGACTTTGGGGCCCTAGTTCCCAATGATACCTTCTCTCTTGTGTTTATGACAACCACAAACCAAGTTAACCTCAGATAAGTAACAATCTTAATCCTCGGCCCCTAAACAAATGAACCTTTCCTATATTTATCACAGCTCAATTCATGGATCATACAATTCATGAATTTTCTACAGGCTTGGATTAACTCTCAGACATAAACACAGTGTGCGGAACACTATGGAATCTGATTTTTAGGGTTTTACTTTCTGGAATTCCAGCATGATTCCATTCTCTAGGAACCCAATGGGAAGATCTTTTTGCTAGAGTTCTTTCCTCTTAAACCCCAAACACACCTCCATATTACAGGTACATATTTTTTTTAAGTCTTAACTACAAATCACTTACCAAAGAGTGCACTTAGCAAGAGGATGCAATGTGCTGAAGTGAACACACCCACGTAATTAGCCTCCAGATCAAGAAACATAACACTTCAGCGCCTCAAAAGTCTCCCTCACACCTTTTCAACTATCACTGCTACTCCCTACAGTTGCCACTATCCTAACTTCTAACATAGATCAATTGTATGTCTGTTTTTTCAGGAACTCCATACAATTGGCTCACATATATACATTCTTTTGTGTGTGACTTCTTTGTTGTTAGAATTTGTTTGGTGTCATTGCTGTTTAGTATTCCATTGTATGGATATACAATTCAGCTATTCTGATTCAGCAGACATGTAGTTTATCCCATTTTGTAGCTTAGTGAATACAGCTTATAAAAATATTATGGTACATGACTTTTGGTGAACATATGTACACACTTTTCTGGGGGGAATATATGTAGGAGTGGACTTGCTGAGCTATAGGTATACATGTGTTTTAATAGATGTGACTAAATAGTTCTGAAAAGTAATTGTCTCAATTTACACCCCTACACATCAGTATATAAAAACTCTACAATTGTATTTTCTCTTTTGCATTTTAGCTATTCTAGGGGATGTGAAGGAGCCCGAGTAGTGTAGGGGTTATGCATTGGGCTGCTAACTACAAGGTCAGCAGTTTGAAACCACCAGCCACTCTGTGAGAGAAAGATGAGGCTTTTTTCTCCCATGAAGTGTTGCAGTCTCAAAAGTCTGTGGGGGCACTTTTACTCGCCCTCGAAGGGGGCTGTGAGTCAAGATTCACTTGATGGCAGTGAGTTTGCTCATTTTTGTGGGGAGGTGAAATTTTATCAAATGATAGTTCAAATGTGCATTTCCATAATAAGTAATAAAGTTAAGTTTTTCATGTTTAATTTTTTTGTCCTTTTTGTGAATTTCTGTTCCAAATCTCTGGCTCATTTTTTTCTATTGAGTTGTCTATGTGTTATTATTAGTATTGATTTGTAGGGGTTTTAAAAATGTATTTTAGATATGTGTTCTATAAGTTAAACATGTTTTACATATCTGTTCCACTATGTGCCTCTCTTTTACACTGTTTTAATGGTGCCTCTGGAATAGCAGCTCCAAATTTTAATGCAACTAACAT